GCGGGGGGAGGGTTGGTACCCCATTTGACGGATGAGGACCCGGAGGCTGGAGAGGGGGTGAGGGTGCGACTCTCCCAAGGTCACAGCTGACCAGAGGCAGCTGGAGGCAGTGCCTGGCCTCCCTGCCCTGTCCCTGGCCTCCCAGCGCGCAGAGGCTGGCCAAGAGTGCTCTGGCTGGGGCCCTAGGAAGAGGGTGCTCCCGGGGGGCCCTCTAGACCGTGAGGACTCCCTCCCCCACTTCCCAGTGGAGTGACGGCTGCCGGGCTGGCTGGGCAGCTGCCTGGTAGTGTCTGTTTAGCTCCTTGGCTTCTCCTGGCCAGATGGAGCTGGCAGGGGTGTGGGCAGGGCCACTTCCCAGCAGGGGGACCCAAGGGTGAGCACAGGGGGTCCTGCCTGGAACTGCTCCCCAGCCAATCGGGCCAGCTGGTTAGAGGTCAGGAAGTTTTGCTGCTTGTTCCAGGTGAGAAGGCAGTGCCACTGTCTTTAGAGCAGGGAAAAGTGGAAGGGAGCACCCATGACCCACTGCTCCTCTGGCCAGGCCTCTCCTGCGCATGTCCCTAGCTGGTTTCTTCCCCAAGGTGCCCGACTCCCCGGGGTTCCGGGGCCTGTGTCCCCTTGTTTCCTGGCCTGGCCAGGTGACCCAGCGGGCGCTGCCCTGCCTGCCCGCTCACACTCCCACCTCTGCCCTCAGCGCTGTGCTTTGCCATGAGCCGCTCACTGCTGCTGACGTGCCTGGTGCCGGCCGGGCTGCTGGGCCTGCGCTACTATTACAGCCGCAAGGTGATCCTCGCCTACCTCGAGTGTGCGCTGCACACGGACATGGCCGACATTGAGCAGTACTACATGAAGCCACCTGGTGAGTCCACAGGGGTTCCAGCCTTCTCCCCTTCTCTGCCCCTCCTGGTTTCTGCCCCAGACTCCTTCAGGCAGCACCCCCATCCTGCCAGCAACCTCGGGGCAGCTGGCTAGGGGGGGGACTATGTGGCAGGGACTGGGGTGGAGCCAGGGGACCTGATCTTGAGCCTGGGCTAGGGGACCCCGTGACCTGAGCCTTCTGTGTGCCTGTGGGCTCAGGGAGGCAGGGTGCTACCCCCCCCCCACCAGCCTGGTGGCCTGAGCAGGCTCTGGGCCTCAGTGACCTGGCTTTGCTGTGCACCCCACCAGATGCCTCTCCCTGGAACCTGCTGAGGTAGGGGTGGGGGCCTCTGGACTCCATTGGTTCTGTCTGGCATGGCTTGGGTATTCTGAGCTGGCCCACAATGCCAGGGCCAGGGGTAGAGGAGGACTATGTGGCAGGGACTGGGGTGGAGCCAGGGGACCTGATCTTGATCCTTGGCCTCCACTCCTGGCCTGGCCTGGGTCACTTAGTGAGCCAGAGGGTCTTCCCCAGCCCTGTGGCCTTCTGTAGACAGGGGCTGGGATGGGTCTAGAGGAGCCCTGGGACTGTTCCCTGGCCAGGCCAGCCCCTAGCCGGTTCATTCCCGGAGGCAGGGCCACAGTGCTTCCTCCGGGAGCCCGAGGAGAGAGGAGTCTTGGGTCTCTGGGCCATGAGAGTCAGTGGGTCAAGGAGATGGACAGGGGGGCCCAAAGGGTTGGTCAGGGTCTGGCGGGAACCTGGTCAGTGTTGGGGGACGGGCAGCTGCTCTGGCACTGCCGGCTGCCGGACCCCGCCCCCGCCCTGCCAGCCTTCATGCCTGCCATTCTCCTTGACCCTTCCCCAAACCCAAGCACACTCTGAGCGGCCTCCTGGATTCTCATCGGGCCTGGTTTTGCTCGGGAGGGGAGAGCCCCAGCCACAGCCGCAGAGGGGGCTTGGGCAGAGACACTGTGCATGGCCCTGCCCCCTCTGGGCTGCAGCCTCACCGGAGGGATGGGGGTCCTTGCTTGCTCCTGTGGGAGACCTGGTGAGTCTGTGGATGACCCCGTAGCGGCAGTAGCTAGAGAGCAGCTGACAGGCCACACTGGATTCCTGGGAGCTGCTCCTGCAAATGGGGAAATAGGCCTGGGAGGGCTGAGACAGGCCCAAGGCCGCATGGTGCTGGGTGTGGGAGGGTTGCCATTCCCAGGATGACCCTGACCTCTGATCTCTTTGGGGTGAGTGGGAAGAGGCCACACCCCTGGATGGTGGGCAGACCAGTGGGTGGGAGGGGGACTAGTTAGGAGCCCCCCTTGGAGGTGAGGTGCCATGTAAGTAGAGAGGTGGGAACAGGCCTAGGAGAGCCCAAGTGGCTCTGGGATGAGGTTAGGGACAGCCCTCCTTGGAGGGACTGTGATGCTGGCGGCGGTGCTAGCAACTCACCAGAGCTGCTTCTCCTTTCTGCTGGGGGAGTGGGAGGTCAGGGACCTCAGCGCTCCTTCGCCAAGTGCCAGAGCTCAGTGTCCAGCACCGAAGGAGACAGGTGCCCCTCACAGAGCCAGCAGGCTGATGGCTGACCCCCAGGATGGAGCAGTTGCACTGAGGGCAGATGGGGTGGGGTGGGAATGCTTTCAGAGGAGCAGGTGCAGAGCCTCGGGGGGTTTGGCCCTTGGAAGAGGGGATTGGGCACTGAGAGGCCGTGAGGTGTGGTTGGGTGGAGGCGGCCAGGGAAGCTTCACTGACCACAGACAGGGTGTGTGACTGGGCTCTGTGGGAAGGGTGCCCCTTTGGTTGGCTGGCCCATCAGATGCCTTTGGAGAGGTCTCTGGGTAGAAAGTCTTTGGGGGGTGGCCAGACTCTCCCTTTTACCTGTGCCCTACAAGCCCCTTCCCTATCTGCCCCTGCTGGTCTTGAGAATCGCCTTCCTTCTCCCCTCCTGGTTCCTCTTCTAATGCTCCCTCTCCCAGAGCCTCCCCTCCTGGCCTCTTGCTTTCCTGAGGCTGGGATTGGGCTGCTCTGTGGGTGGAGATGGTGGCCCGGCCACTGGGCTTGCTGCCCAGGAGAGGCCAGGGTCAGTGGGGGGTAGTCCCGGTTCCCTGCTTGGATTTAGGAAATGTCTTCCTACGCTGCAGGGATCCTTCTGGAGGTACCCTCCCAGCCCCTTCTCTCCTAGCCTTCTGGTGTGGGTGCCTGGGGACCAGTGTGGTGGCCCTGGGCGCCTGGGAGCCAGAGCAGGTTGGCTTCACCACAGCCTGTCCAGGGTTGCCTGTGGCCATCCAGGCATTTGGTCCCGGGGTAGCTGACCAGGGCAGAGACTTGCTTGGCCAAGGCCTGCCTAGCTCTTGGTCCCAGTGGAGGGACTCCAGCCGCCAGCCACCACCCTGACCAGTGTAGTCCAGCCTTAGGGCTGAGCGTGCCCTGGCTCGGTGCCGTCAGGGCTCTTGGCACCGGCGGGTTGTGCCCAGGCTCTGGGTCCTGCTGTACTTACTCCGTTCAGGGGCGTCTGGTGGAGGCAGCTGTGCCTGCTTGTCCTGAATTGTGGTCGTTCTCCCTCCCGCGGCCAGTAGAGCTGGGAGGTGGGCCATGAGGGTTGACGGGATTGGGCATCGTGATGCCCTGGCATGGTGTCTGGCTGGAGTGAACAACCCTGAGGGGCCCCTGTTGGCCTCCTGGCTCTGTTCCACCATGGAGATGGCGGGGTCTCCCTGGCTTTCCTCACCAGGTGTCCCTGAACACTCTGTCCCCTGCAGGCTCCTGCTTCTGGGTGGCCGTGCTGGATGGCAACGTGGTGGGCATTGTGGCTGCAAGGGCCCACGAAGAGGACAACACAGTGGAGCTGCTGCGTATGTCTGTGGACTCGCGTTTCCGTGGCAAGGGCATCGCCAAGGCACTGGGGCGGAAGGTTCTGGAGTTCGCCATGGTGCACAACTACTCTGCGGTGGTGCTGGGCACGACGGCCGTCAAGGTGGCTGCCCACAAGCTCTACGAGTCGCTGGGCTTCAGACACATGGGTGCGAGTGACCACTACGTGCTGCCCGGCATGACCCTCTCGCTGGCCGAGCGCCTCTTCTTCCAGGTCCGCTACCACCGCTATCGCCTGCAGTTGCGCGAGGAGTGACTGCTGTCTCTCGCCCGCCTGCCACCCCGGCCGCCTTGTCCGCCTGTGCCCGCCTGCCCACTACCCGGCGCGGCCCTGCTTTCAGACGCTCACCTTGGCGTTTGTGTCGGGTTTTCTTCTTTCGACATCACGCGGTTATCTGGCGGGTTCTGGGTGGTGTGGGGCCGTTGCTCTTCTGCGACACTTTGGGGGTGTTGTCTGCAGCCTCAGCCCTCGCCCTTCCCAGCCTGTGGGGCAACTCGCCACACCCTGAAGAGCGGCATCTTGGACCACTGCGGCTGTCCGCGACGCTACCCAGCCGGCTGCCCCGTGGGGAGGCCCTGCCTGGCCCACCAAGCACAGAACCTCCGTGACAAAGCCCCTGACCCGGTTCTGGCTCGACTCTCGGCCCTGGAAACGCAGCCTGCTGGGCTGACCGCTGCCTGCAGAACAACGAGCCAGCTGCGGGCCCGCTTTGCTCTGTGCATGCTGAGGATGTGGCCTGGCCGCAGCATGCCGCATGCCCGCAGCCTCCTGCCCTGCCACCCTGCCTGGACCGGACCCCGAGACCGTGGCTGGTGAGCGTCCCGGCCCTGGCCCTGCTCTCTGCAGGGGTTTGCCTCATCCGCCTGGCTCTGTCCACTCCCGCTTTGCTTTGACGTTGCAGCACCCCCTTTCCTTCTGGTCCCAGCCCCTCCCTGTCTGGGCTCGGCTGGCGGGCGTTATCACCCGGGAGGTTCCCATAGCAACTGTGGCGTGGCCATGGCAGGGGCCCCGGGCACCCCTCTTCCACAGCGCCCACTGGGTCACAGTGGCCTCTCCTAGACATCCTGGGACCTTCTGCTTCCTGGTGGATGGGTCCGCCCACGAATGCTCACCCAGGCTGCCGCCGACACTGCTGAGCCCACAGTTTCCCCAGCCTGAACCGATCCATTTTCTAATAAGTTATTTAGACAGAATAGCACTCTGCATGACTTTAGCTCTTGGGACAAAACGGTAGTTTGTATCCTAAGACACTGTTTCTGGCCCAGTGTGATGGGGGTAGGTGGCCGGGTGGGTGATTTCACAGCTTGAAATCTGGAGAGAGACCCTGATTTAGCCTAAGTTCCCACCAAGGAGCATTCTGAGCATGTGGGGAGGCTCCCGGTCGTCCCTCCCAGCCCTGGCCTGCAGGGTGGCAGGATGGAGGGGACGAGGGTCCCACAGCCTTGGTCGGGGGTCTGGCCTCCTCGGGCCCGGGGCAGGAGGGGCGGCCCAGGGGCAGGAAGGATGGCTGGCTGGGCTCTCACTGGCTCTACTCCCAGCCGCTTTTCCCCGGGGTAGAGGAGGGGCTGTCCTGGGTATGGGTCGGCCTAGGAAGGGGAGAGGAAGGTGGGGGTGGCACGGGGCCCATGTCCAGCCTGGAGCTGGACCTGGCTTTGATGGGCAGGAGGGGCGTAAATGCCCACCCAGGCCCCTATGTGTGGGGGCTCGGGGAGGGGAAAGGCAGGCAGGGCTGGCCGTGGAGCTGGGTCCCAAGCACCAAGGCCACACGTGGAGCCATGGAGGGGACGTTCTTTCAAAGGCGCTTCAGAAATTAGTGGATTAATGGGGCAAACCTGGCTTCTGAGGGGCCTTTTGTCCCTTTGGCACTTGAGGTGTTTGCAGAGTACTGTACAGACCCCGCTCCCCTGTACATTCCTCCCTGGTGGCGCCCGGTCCCTGCTCGGGAATGGGAGTTTTGTAGACTGTACAGAAATCGGCACCCTATTTTCTTGCAGCTCTCAGATTTTGTTAATCTGGATTATACAGACAGACGTAAAGTGTTTTAGCAAAATGGAAACAAACAGTTGTGCCTTTTTCCTCTTTCTGTTTGCTTTGGGTTCTGCCTGGGGTCGGTCTCAGTTGTTGCGGGTGTGTTGGGGGCTGCTGCCCGGTCTCATGCCGGTAGGGTAGGAAGGGCAGGGTGGGGCCAGGTGGGAGTCAGCGCTTCCCCGGGGGTGTTTTGTTGGGGGTGCCGCCAGCTTCCCTTGGTCCTGTGCCTTGGGAGCCTTTCGTTCCTGGGGCAGGGTTCGTGGGTGGTGGCTGTGGGAGCCCACTGTCATCAGGGCACAGCCTGAAGACCCAGGGGGCCAATATCTCCTTGATACTGATTTGGGGTGGGTTCGTGATAGAGCCCCATCCCGGGACAGTGGTGTGGTCCGCCTCTGTTTTAGGGGCACCTGTGCCACGAGGGATCTCTTTCCTGGCTGTATTGCCCTGTGGATGGCAAAACACATGCTGGACTCTCGACCTTTCTTTTTTGCTGCTGGGACTTGGTAGAGATGCCAGCAGGAGTGTTGTGGGGTGGGCACACGGAACTCTGCTGCATGGGCACTGAGGAGGCAGAGGTACCCGTGTGCCTGCCAAGCTGGGCTTCGGCTGCCAGAGTCCTCCCCAGGCCAGTGTGCGGCTCAGAGGGACCCCTGAAGGCCCCTGGGAGGCGGATCTCCCGGCCTGCCCCCAGGCTGGCAGCTGAGTGCGCTAGTGGGTGGGCCTGCCCCTGGCCAGCCTCCCCCCCGGCCTGGGGCTCCCTGCTCCAGCTATGTGCACTGACGTGAATTTTATACGTTTGTAGAAATTCTGATGTTACTTCTTCTACCTCTGTGAAGCGACCCCTTGGGGCCCTGCCGTCATGTGTCTGGTGCAGCTTCCCTAAGTGCTGGCCCTGCCCTTCCTCCTCCCTGCCCCCCCCGCTGGGTGACCCACACTCTGCCTGGCGTCGCTCAGGGTCTGGGGCGCTGAGATTTCTGTGTGTTTGGAAGCCTCTGTTTTTGGAGTGGGGAGGGTAGAAGGTGGGAGGGTGGAATGTTCCAGAATGGCATCGTGAGACAAGCCTACAGCATAGACCTGACCAGTGGCTCTAGGCAGCTGAGGGTGCTGGCACCTCTGGATAGCCCAGTGCTGCCCAGGCCACCAGGGTCCTGCTGTGTCGTGGGTGGGCTGTCCCTGGGAAGCTCCTCGCCCGGGTGTGGATCTCTGCAGACGCTGACCCGTGAAAGTGGGAGGCCAGGGTGGGTGACCTGCATGTGCTGAGGCTACCACATGGTCTGACTCCGGGAAGAGCTCCTGAGTGTGGAAGGGTCAAGCCCCTGCAGCCATGACGAAGTCTCCCCCCATTCTCTCCACCCCCATGCCCAGCCTTGCTTCCTGCTGGTGTCTGCGCCCTGGGACCAAGCAGCAGCTACCATGCTGTCCCAGGGTGGAGGAGGCTAAGGGATGGGTCCACCTGGCCTGAGGAGAGGGACCGCTGGCCCTGAGAGAAGACTTGGGCAGGAGGCACTGTGGACAGCAGGCCTGAGGTCACGAGGTCCCGGGACAGCCTCTCTTGCTTTGGGTGTCCTTCCTCAGAGAAGGCCCTAGAGGGGACACCGTGAGGTGAGCTTCCTGGGGCAGCTCCCAGGCCACCAGGGCCTGGTTCTGGTCTCTAGGAGGCCTGCCCCTGCATGCACAGACCTGACCAGTGGCTCTAGTCAACTGAGCAAGGACCTCAAGGCACAGGCAGCCCCAAGCCCAGGTCATTGCTGGAGCTGACACCGGAGCTGTGCGGTGGCCAGAGCCTAGGAACTCAGGTTCCTGGGTCTGCTAGGTGTGTGGGGCTTCACGGGAGCCAAAGGCGGCTCCCCAGCCAGGCAGGGGGCTGCGTGGGCACCCAAGGGGCCACCTTCCTATCAGTGCCCAAGATGGGACAGAGCTGTCCCCAAGCCAGGGAGCTGCTCTCTCTCCGCTGTCGTTGCCACGTCCTGTTTGTTACCTGCTGACTCGCTTGTGTCTGTTTGGAAGCTGCTTCTGGAAATCAGTTTTGGCCACAGCCCACGTTTCTGCGCTGGTGGCTCTCTGGCTGATGCTTTGGGGCTGCAGTTCTGGGCTGGGCAGAGCCTGGAAGATGTCTGCTCCTTGCCGCGGCCACTGTTTCCAGAGGTGGGGTGACAACGCAGAAGGCTGGGCAGCACAGCCCTCCAGGGCGCCTAAGAGCTAGGGTGAGGGAGAGGGAACCCTGACATACCATTGGTGGATGTATTTTTTTAAACAGCAATAATTAGCCATTTTAAAGAAGGGGTGTACCTGAGTGTGTATGTGTACGTGTGTGCATGTGTATGTATGAGCATGTGTGTGTATGTATAATTGTGTGTGCATGAGTATTTGCATAGTGTGAGCAAGTACATATGGTGTGTAAGCGTGTGTGCATGTACATGGGTGTATTGTGTGAATATGTGTGTGAATGTGTAGTGTGCATGCATGCACATGTGTGAGAGCATGCACACACGTGTGTGTGAGTATATGTGAGATGCATGTGTGTGTTTGTATGAATGCGTATGCATGTGAATGTACTTTGTGTGTGTGGACATGTGTTCATGCTTGTGTGTTCATATATACATGTGTGCATGCACACATATGTGAGTATATGTGTATACTTGTGTATGTGTGGGTGTATACGAGTGTGTGTGCATTTACCTGTGTGTCGCGTATGTGAGCATGTATGAATGTACATGTGTGAACATAAGTATGTGTACTTGTGTGTGTGGGCGTGTATGTGTATGGTGGTGGGAGGGAGCCGGGTGGGTGGGCAGTGTTGGGGGCCACAGGTCCTGCCCTCTCTGACCCTCCCTCCGTGTCCAAGGGCCCAGTGCTGTGCCTCTCTGCACAGCGAGGACCTGGAGGGCATGAGCCGCCTGCCCCTGTCCTCGGGCCTTGGCTCCCGCTGGCCCAGGGAAGCTGGGCTGGGCACGGGGTGGGTTTCACCTGCTGCGGTGTGTCCCAAAACTGTACTGTGAGCCCAGACGGGGCGGTGGTCCTGGGGCCCTGAATGTGCCAAAACAGCCCCGGGGGAGGGGAGCGAGCCGAGTTCCGAAGAGAGGGCCGCGTGAGCCGGGGTGGGTGTGCCTCCCCTGCACGGCCCCAATGCTGCTGTTTTTCAATAAAACTAGAGTTGAAGGAAGCTGGCTCTGCTGCTTTCTTGAGGCTTGAGGACCTCCCACCTACCTGGCCCACGGGGAAGGGCTGGCTTTCCTGGAAGGTCGGGGCTCCTCCTGTCTGGGCTCCCCCCATTGGTTCCTCACGTTGGCTCTTACACCACCGAGGCTTCTCCCTCGCCCCTCTCCTGCACAGGTGTTTCCCCGTGCTCCTCCCCGCTGCTCTCCTTGCTGCATCTTGCCTGGTCCCGCTGACCCTGGTGATGGAGGGGTGGGGCAGCCAGGAGGCAAGATGGGGTGGAAGGGGCTCAAGTGGCCCCATGGGCCGAGAGGCCCCCCTCTGCCAGGCAGGCAGGAGCTCAGTTGGCTCTGCCCATTGGCGCCCTTCTGACCAGTCCGCTTGGGCTCTGTCTTCCCCCCAAATTCCGTGCCCTGGCCTGGGCACACCCAAACTCCCGGCATAGCTAAGACAGACGGCTTGGACCCTCTGTCCTCCTCCCCCGTCTTCGTGCCCTAGTAGATGCCCTATCCCAGCTGGGCCCACCACGCTCTATTGCCCTGTCCTAGCCCTGGGGTCTGGGTGCTGCCAGCTTGTCTGCATCCCCTGCCAGTCCTACTTGTAGTCCCCTGCGCTGTCAGACCTGGGCAGCCCTGGCCTCTGCGCCCCAAGCCTCAGAGGGATGGCAGTGCTGAGAAGGGAGGATGTGCGAGGCTTGGACCCAAGTGAGAGGATGTCAGGGCCCACCCGGGTGGAGGTGGAGCCTAGTGCCTACGAAGGAGGGGGCACTGGTACCTGGGATCCAGGCCGAGGGATGCTGAGCAGCAAAGTGGGGGTCAGTGGGCTGCAGCAGGCAGCATGGAGGCTGGGTGTGTGAAGGGTCAGGGATGGCAAGGTACAGGGTGGACACAGACCCTTATCAGACCCCCCTGCAGGATGCCAGCCTTGTTGGCAGAGGGGCCCTTGGAGCCTGGGGGGTCCCCTGGACACAACCCCTGCAAGCCAATTCCTTGGACAGCTTTCCTCTTGGGGGTTTCTTGGCCCCATGTCTCCCCTGCCCCTTCCCTCAGACCCTCCTGGCATGGGAATGTAAGGGACTAACCCAGGCACATTCCTTCCTGAAGGGCACGGCCAGGGTCAGGGCTGCCCCTCTCACCAGGAGGGGAGCTGGGTGACTCAGCCTGAATTCAGGAAGCAAACGGGAAGCCCACCTTGGGAACATCTCAGTGGAAACTGCAGTAGAGGAACCAGAAGCCCGAATATCACCAGGTCAGTTACTATAGAGCCTGAGGTGCCCTGGTGCTCCCCCGCTGAGTGTCCTCCTCCTCCCCACCTGGTGTCTGCGCAGAAGAAACAGGCCCTACTGATCTTGGTTCTCAGTGATGCTCTGTCTGAAACCCAGGAGTGCAGGTGCTGCTGAGACCTTGACTCGGAGTGACAGGATGGCTGCTCGGCTCACTGGGCCATGCAGAGCTCACTGGCTAGGCTTCAGCGGGCATGGGTCTCAAACACACACGTGGATACACATGAACTTGCACACATGTACACACATGAACAGGCACACACATGAATGCAAACACATGAGGGAGGGAGTAGCACCACGACTGGTAAGAGGGGCCCAGCAGCAGTTCTGTGCCACCTCCCTGGATTACTGTAATTTCTGTCACACAATAGTAAGGCCTGACACCCAGGATCCTGCACACATGGGGAAACCAAGAAAATATCTTTTTTTTGAGTTGGAGTCTCACTCCATCGTCGCCCAGGCTGGAGTGCAGTGGCACACTCACGGCCCCCCCAGTATTGATCCTTCCGCCTCAGCCTTCCAAGTAGCCAGAACTACAGGCGCATGCTATCACGCCTGGCTAATTTTTTATTTATTGTAGAGATGAGGTCTCGC